TATCATTTTTGAGATTGTATCCCAGTACAGATTTTCCCACTCTTTTGTTGACTATGAGGGCTATTCCATTTCTTCTATGGGATTCTTGCCCACAATAGCAGAATTTGTCCATTCCCATCCATTTTAGTTCACTGACATCCAAGATGTCAATGCTTATTCTTGCCATCTGACCACATCCAGCTTACCAAGGTTCGTATGCAGTATTTTTCCAGGTTCCAATGCAGTATTTTTCTTTGCAGCATCAGACTTCCCTTTCACTTCCTGGCGCATCTGCAGATGAGAGTCCTTTCGGTTTTGGCCCAACCACTTCATTAGCTCTGGAGCTTCTTGTCCTTGTCCTCAGTAGCATGTTGGACACCTTCAGACCTGAGGGACTCATCTTCCAGCATCATAATTTTTAGCCTTTTATTTCTGTCCGTGGAGTTTTATTGGCAGTGATACTGGAGTGTCTTGCCAGTTCCTGCTCCAGGTGGATCGCATTTAGTCAGAACTCTCCACAATGACCTGTCTATGTTGGGTGTCCCTGCACGGCATAGCTCATAACTTCTCTGAATTACTCAAGCCCCTTCACCCTGACAAGGCAGCAATCCCTGAAGGGGTGTTTTAATCTATATTTTCTTATATAGCTAAGCTTAGGAGGGTTTTTTGTTTGTTTTAATTTATTCACTTTATTAAATTTCATTTTATGTCTATGTTGATGTCTGGATTATAAGATTACCTGAATAGATGGGTTGGGTAAAAAATTACACAGATAGACAGACAGACTAGATGTGCATTCAAACACTGGCTAGTTTGTACGTCCGAACAAGCTGTGATTCAGTAAAAAGTTGCTCCTTTTCAGCTGCCAGGCTGCAGCACTAGTGGCTGGACAAACAATGTACTTTTGGTTCATGTTTTTTGTTTGTTTTGTTTGTTTGTTTGTGTCTCTTCCAGTAAGGCAATAGAAGAATCAGGGGCTTTTTCTTTGCATGTTTCTCAAAGTTAGAGGGGAGAAATCAAATGCCATGCGAATAAATTATATAGCAAAGACTGTAATCTGTTTAGTCATTTTCACTTCAAATGGGAGTGAATGGACAGTGAAAAACAGCATGCAGACTTGTCCACATCACATCAGGACTGGCGAAGCACCTGAGCTTACCATGACATCTGAACTATGTTTGGTTTAAGGGCAAATGTTTTTTTCCCTCCTGCTTTGTGAGGCTTCCCACTAAAAGGAAACTTATGTCAGTGTTCTAATTCATCCTAATCACAGTCATCTTGTATAAAATGCATTATGTCCCACTAGAACATTATGTCCAAAATAATTATATATTATGTCCAATAATATGCTAGCACATTTATGTCTAAAAATCAGAGGCTTTAGGGAGAGTACTTGAACAAAATGATTCTAGAGAGGATAGGCCAAAGGCAAGAAGGGTATTATAATACTCATCATCACTCATGCACTCTTAAATCAGGCCTTTTCTCCCCTTCCTGTGATATTTAAGTGGTTCCATATTTAAACAGCATTGCCATCATTACATATACTATAGCAGATTAAAACACACACACACCCTGGACTTTTCCAGATTGAAGGGTCTCTTGTATAAGAATTATGTCATCTTTCTCTACTGCTGTATTAGTATTAACCATTTCAGACTTTCTTCCTGTCTCTACCTAAAGGAAGACTATGGTAAACTGGGGGTGAATTTCACACCCTGAGGCTTCCTGGAGTTGACATGCAGCCCTCTGGAATTCTCTGGAGGGCTATATCCCCTTCCCTATGATACCACTTTCTGATGATGTCCCAGCTTCTATGATGATCTTTTTTCCTCATTCAAAAACTTTCGAAATGCCTCTCCTAAGGCTGACTTGCAAGCAGCAAGGCCTTTAAGCTAAAATAAATACAGTACTGGAAATTTTTGTTGCACCCAGCAGCACTGCAATGCAACCTCTGAAACAGAATTTGGCTCTCAGGCTGAAAAAATGTTTTTGCACCCTTGAAGTAAAGTAGGAGTGAGCGAAGCAAGAACCCCCTGATGTTGCTAAACTGCAGCTCCCATCCTTCTTTGCTGGCTAGGAAGGCTAAAGAGAGTTGTAGGCGAATAGTACCTGGAGGACTGCCCTTTTGCCCTCTCTGGTGTAGGAGATGATATTCTGCAAACAGCCTAGATATACATAAGTTTAGGGTTTAGTATTAAGAGTGAAAACTGCCAACCATAAAAAGTCCTGGATCCTGAGCTCTACCCTACGATAAAGTGCAATCAACAGATTATGGGCCCATCTATACCAAACATTTCTTCAGCTTTCCTTGCACCCATAACACTGGTGCTGCTGAACATAGGGCTGAGACTGGTGTCAAAAGAGTCAAAACAGCATGAAACATGCTTTCCAAAGGGGAGTGGTGCATTTTTGTTCTGATCTGCTCCATCCCACAATCTGTTCAGATGGATTCCAGTACCATCTTGATGCATACTGATCTTGTACTTTTATGAGTGTGTCTGATTTGATGACATTTCTTTATACATTAGTTTTTGAGGGCCAGCTCCCACTTCTACACATCTTACTGCCAGTTCTCTTTAAGTGGTTTTTGGTCGAGAGGCAGGATATCAAGTGTTCTGCATTCTACTTTTTAAAAACGCTTACTTTTGCACCATAACTAAGAAGTGAAGACAATTTTTTAAAAAATAGAAAGCGTTGCAGTAAAACATGAAGGCACAAGAAGGATAGACAGGAAAAACAAGGAGTGGAGGGAAGAGAAAATGAAGGGGGAAGGCAGTGGGAGGCCAAGATAGACAAAAAAGCAAAGTGATCTGTGTTGGGAGTGAGACCTCAGGGAGCAATTTCAGATGTGTGTTGACAATCCATACTAGGGTGACCCAGTGCATCCAGCAACAGATACTCCTCTCATGTGTGGACACAAATACAGGGACAACCTATTCCAATCTGCAACAATAACAAAATACCACAAAGGCCCAGAGCAAAACCAAAAGGACCAGGGAAAGCAGTACAGTGTGGATGAGCCCAGGAGGTAGATCCTGGAACCCACTTAAGCCTGGGTGTTTTTTTTTAACACTTTTTGTCACTGTTGTCAACAATTTGAGCCTTACGTCAATACTGATATTATCAACAGACTAGATATAGAGGAATAAATGTGATATCTTGATGAGTCCTTTGATTTCTAGAGTGCTTCATTAATCATCAGCATCTGATAAGGTCACAAGGCCATAGCTATGAATATGATATAGGTGCTGTAATCAGTCTAACCAAACCCCTGCTAATAATAGAAATCTCTCAAGCACTTACTTGTTTTCGAAAAATTTCCCAAATCATCCAAAATAGATTTCAGAGATTCTTCAGATTTATCAAAAGAGGATTGCAGCTGCAAATAAATACATAAATATTTTGTTGAGAGACTGTGCTTTAATTATTTCCATTTTAACGTTTTCAATATTGTCAGTGTTTTCAGCTGAATCAAAAAGAATGCTAATGGAAGGTTCAATTATATTTTATTAGAGTTCTTGAGGGGGAAAGCATATATTCTATTAACTAAAAGGTAGGAAAGCATACTGCAATATTTCCATCCCAATTTCCAATTTATAATTTGGATTTACTTACTCTTTGAAGACTCTCCTTGGTGTTCAAAATAAAAGTGTTTAAAACCTCACTAAAAGAAAATCATAGGAAATATAAGATTTTTATGCAAATTAAACAGATTAAAATGGGAGGGGAGGGAACCAGGATAATCTCATCAGCAAACATTATACAGTAAAATGCCTTAATTCGCCATTAAAGTATTTATCACTAGGGAACTTTCACTTCTCTAGTCAAATGAATTGCATTAGTAAGAATTTCCAGTAGATTTGTCTTTCTGAAATGTTGACTAATAGCCAATGCTAACAGTATAGGCATTTGAACAAGCTAGGTTTACTTGCTTAGATGTGGTGATGGTATAAAGTCCATGGTAGCTTTGTAGAGCTGCAATACAAGGATATCTGCAAGCGGGATCTGAAGGCCTTAGGAATGGACCTCAACAGATGGGAAACCTTGATGGTCTGAGCATTCAGCCTGGAGGCAGGCGGTGCATCATGGCCTTTCCCAATTTGAAGAGACATTCATCCAGCAGGTCGAGGCAAAGGGACAGTCCCGAAACCAGCAAAATCAGGGAGCTGGACAGGGGACAGATTCTATTTGTCTTCAGTGTGGAAAGCATTGTCACTCCTGAATTGGCCTTCTCAGACACACTAAACGCTGTTCCAAGACCTCCATACAGAGCACATTACCATAGTCTCTTGAGACTGAAGGATGCCTACACAATGGGAAGTGCTCCCTGTAAATAACTAGTGAAAGAATAATCGGAGCTGGAAAAGTTACTTTTTAAGTACCTCTTCCAGTGGCTGTACCAGTGGGGGATCCTGGGAGTTGTAGTTTAAAAAGTGACTTTTCCAGTTCTGATTATTGATGTTTTTGCACAATCGCCACTGAAAGGATGGCACAAGCAAACTGCACACATGTTGTGTATGCCATCAAGTGGTTCAACAAGAAGTAAGATACTGATATGGAAAGATATAGAGATATCAAGTGTCCAGACTAGCCTTTTTTGGTGTGGGCTGGTGCAGAAGTGATTTGCCATTTGGTGTGATCCTAATGTCCAGAGGGCATACTGACCTCAAGCAATCCTATTTCCAGTTTCCTGAAGTAGCATGTTTGTGCAAAGCTGGAGTTTGGGAGATACGGAAGTGGGGTGGGTTCAAGTATGGCTGGGAAGGGCAGGCCGTAGAGACAGATAAAGAGGGAGAGAGGCAAGCTACATCTGGTGGTGCAAAGTGAGAAAAAGCAGCTGATTGGCAGCCGAAAGCAGGCAGAATACCAGTCTGCCTTTGTGCTCCCCTTTGGCTACACCGAGTTTGAGAAGGACATAGAGAGAACAGGAGTGTGCAATCTCCCACCACCACCCCCATCTCACCAGTAGAGGCAAAAGAAAGGGATCCCTTTGCCTTTCACATGTTTTTGTACAGAGAGAGAGAGAAAGAGAGAGAGAAGAGAGAAGAGATGAGGATTGCTTGGAGGGTGCAAGGCAGATTAAAAAGGGAAGGTGGTGTGTACGCCCAAATAGGAAAGCCTCTTGGCTTTCCCAGAAGGAGTTCTGCGTCTGTCTAAAAATAAAATAGGCTCTTAACACTGTGAGGCATCTGCGGACGGACACGTACTTCTCTGTCCACACTTTGCCTTCCAGCCACACATGCCGTTTCTGCCTCTCTTTTGCATGTAACAGACAGACACCCCACAAAAAAGAGGAAAAAAGGGGGTGGGGAGCCAAATATGTCTTTCTTTAATTATCATCACCCATCATCATTATCATCATTTTAGAACTGCAGAGCTAGAAGAATCCCTATGGATCATCAAGTCCAGCCCCTGTCTGGGAGGCACTGTGGGGAATTGAACTCCCAACCTCTGGCTCTGATTTCTTAAGACTTATGTGTTCCATCTGCCAATATCTTGAAGCAGATTATTTATTAAGCCACTTCACAATACAGGAAATTCAAACCGGAAGCAGCCTTGGCAGCTCTGACAGCCGCCAAGACTCAATTCTAGTCCATTCCCAGTGAATGCATGCACTGGGAATGGACTAAATTGCTGGATAGCTCAGTGGTTTAGGTCTCTGGCTGTGGAGCCAGAGGTTGGGAGTTCCTGACTGGGCCTCCTTGACAGGGACTGGACTCGATAATCCATAGGTTCCAGTTCTCCAATTCCAAGATTATTATTATTATTAGACTAGAATGCATCAGCCTGGACATGCCCTAAAACTACAAGGATCTGGGCATGTTTGCTTTGTTTGCCTCCCCCTCCCTCCCTCTCGGTGAAAAACAGCCTATTAAGATAAGGAAAACAATACTCTAAATCTGGCTTAATTAATCTAAATGATCTTCAATTGTGATCAAGAACTTCCAGTTGTTCTTGGTAACATATTCAGTCAGTTCCCAAGACCTGTTAAAATTACAGGGGAAAATCCTGGAAGTCAAGACTTTCTTTGAGGTTTCCAAAAGACAACCACTCTCTAAGATGTAAACTAAGAAACAGCTTGCCTCTTCTCTAACTCAAGCACCTGCAATGGAATCATTCAAATAAATTTCCTGCTGTATATGCATGACTCTCTTCCACACTCACAGTTTTGTGGAATCATCATCCTAAAGGAAAAATGATCCAAGAGGATTTTATTTTAGAAGCTTTTAAAGCAAACTGTCAACAATGGCCCAGAAGGGGGAATGTAGTGGTTTGGAAAGCAAATTAAAACAGTGGGGTTCAATGTAACAAAATTTAAGAGCCTAATTCTATTTTAATCAGCTTTTAAATTAAACGCATACCGCACACAGAGTGGCCTGAAGTCCACAAAGAGAAATAAGGGTAAAAAGAAAACAAGTGAACTGAAAATCTCATGACAGCCATGGGTGATTCAGGAATTGCTAGCAAGGAGCTATGGGTGATGGACAATATCAGAGCCTTCCCTCTGTCTTCATAGGGTTCTTTATCTTTAAACCAGAGTTGTGGTTTCAGCTTCAAGAGAAGATACCCATGGGTACTGTAACTATAACCAGTGTTAACTGAAAGCTTCATCCTCTGAAGAACCTTCCACTGTTCTACTAAAACCACCAGTTAAGCTAGACAAGGTCAGTCCAAGGTCTCCTGTCATGTGAGTTAGAAAGCAAAGAGCCACCTGCCACATTGCTGATTCAGAGAGAAAAATGTGGGCTCCGCCATCGGAAGCAACACTTCCATTCACTCCTCTATATGCCACTCTCAGAAAATAAAAAAGGGCAAGCAATACAGCATCCTTCCCCCTTTTTTAAAAAAAATGATGCTTGGGTCCAAGGATTCTCTTGGAGTCTAGATAACAATTTTAAAAAATGGTCTATTGAAACTGTCTGAAATATTGGTGATTTCTCTGGATGCCCTTCCTATTATGTCTTTACTCCAAGAGGCCAGATTTAGGCAAGGAGGTGCTGCTGTAATATTTGCCTCTTTTCTCCCAGCAGTAGCCAGCAGGGAGAAAAGAGTCCAGAGATGCTGCTACCTTTCTGGGTCAGCACAGCAGGATGGCAAGGGTAGAAGAAGGAGCAGCCCATTTGCTTCCCCCAGTGTTCTGCTATCCAAGGCAGCTGCCTCAGGACACCTAATGCCAAGGCTGTCACTCTTGCTGAATCACTGAGACTCGAGTATATTGTATAAATGAATAAAAGGCTCCAGAAGGACAAAGAGAAGAAGCTGCCAGCAGGAAGCTGAAAGAACAAAACTTAGAAGACAGATGGTGTCCTCACAAAATGAATCCTGATTTGTTTAGGGCAACATCCCTGCTTAATGATAACAAAGCAGAAAGGCAGCAACCCCGCCAGTTGCGATGACTTCAGTGGCTGAGATGTAGAGAAAAGTGGAAATATAACCACTTGAATGAGGAGCAAGGCACAGAAGTTCAGAGAGTGAGGTGGAGCAGGAGAACCAGTAATGTACCCCCATCAGTTTGGGAAGTCCTTTTTAGACATCCATTGTTCGAACTCATTACAAATACCTGCCACAATAATTTGTTAGTATTACATTACAAAGAAGGATGTGTGGGTTTTTTTGCTAACTGGTCATTTTATTGACAGCATTACTACTTTCTCATTGATCAACAAAAAACCAATTTTAAAACTGGTAAGGGAATAGCATCTTTCTCATTGCTCAATAAAAAGCCAATTTTAAAACTGGTAAGGGAATAGCATACCACTTAAAATGCTCTTTTAAAAAACTGGAAAACATTACTTGTTATATCTATGAAGATTCTCGGTCATCCAGGTGAGGTTATCTAGAAGCTGGGTCATGACAAATGGACTTCTTTCTTATTAATAAGAAAGAAGTCCAGTTGCCATGACTCACAGACTACTTGTTATACACACACCAGGAATGCCATTCATGCTGACTATGCTCCTTTTGGAAAGGAACTTTGTTGCACTTTCATTACCAGAAAAAGTTAAGAGTAATCTGATGACATTATTACTCATTTCTTGTAAACTCTGATCTAGAGCTCACCGTATATAATTTGTTATAAACACACCAGGAATGCCATTCATGCTGACTAGGAACTTTGTTGCACTTTCATTACCGGAAAAAAGTTAAGAGTAATCTGATTACATTATTACTCATTTCTTGTAAACTCTGATCCAGAGCTCACTGTATATAATGAAAATAACATTAGGCAGAGTGAGGCCATCATCTCTGGTAGCAAGTTACTAAGAAGTGGTAGCAAGGTGCTAAGGGTAGAGAGGAGTGCCATGAAGCTTCTCTGAGCATCTGAAGTTGAAGCCTGATGCTTTAGGAATGGTGGAGTATTTTACTCCATCATTAAGAGGACAAAGCTCAAGCACAACAATGTCTGACAACATGGATGCTCAGCAGATATTCAGGAGATGCTTTAGGCCAGAAGAAGAGGGTAAGACAGTAAAAAGCAAACAAACAGAATGTTTTCCCAAGGGAATTAAATTTTGTCTAAAAATGTACAAATCAGATAATGCTATTTCTGTTTAATCTACAGGATCTTTGTTTTCATTGTCAGAAATTTTCAAATTTTGTCTTGTAACAAGCTTTTGAACCTATTTCATAGTAGAAATGAACTGAACCCACAAGCAACTGTATTTGCCCAAAGACGGCAGTGAAAACATAATTGCCTAACAAGATTTCTCTCTGTCTTTCAGTTTTTCTAATTTTTCACCTGAAAAAAAAAATACGTACAGAACTGGAATTATTCATTAGTTCACAGGGAAAAATGTTGAAAGCTTTCATGCTTGGGGCTGAAGCTGCTTCCTTCTTCTGTGATTTTTTTTAAGGGTCATCCTAATCCTCTCTTACCAACAAAGAATCTATTAGAAAATGCTGTAGGGAATCTGCCTTGTCAGTACAGTATTATATACATTGTTTATAAAATAGGATTAATAACAAAATGCTAGCGGTAATGTCCTACTTTCACTCAAAATGTAAATATTGGTGCAGAAACAATGCCTTTGATAAGACGTAATGCATTTTCTAAGTTCTTCTAGAGATAATCTTTCTTCCCAGGAAATTCATTCATAAGAACTTTGATAAGAATAGAGTCTGCTGATAACAAGCAGAGGGGAAGTGAATGCCTCCCAGGCTCTGGAAAACACTGTACTGTACTCTCTTAAGGGCAGTTCCACGGTCAGGTAGAAAGAGACAACCACCTTAGGCAGCAGATTAAGTTTTAGGGGGCATAAGAGTTATATAGGGATTTTGAGCTACATGGAGGTCTGGTGCCCTAATCCCAGCATTGCTGAAAGGAGAAATATATAATGGAAATGAGAGGACTGCTACCTGCAGATTGTACAAAGCCATTGGCAGTAGTTTTCACACAACATAGGCCACACAATCCCACACAGACACATGCGTCCTGTCTATATTGGTACCGGGACCACTTTAAAGACCAACAAATTTATTTCAGTATGAACTTTCAAAGATAACAACCCACAATTTGTAAGGGTAGTACAAAGAACATTACGGCAGAAAGTTTACAGAAGGTAGCAACTGCCACTGCCTATTCGCTTGAAGAAAAAGAGAAGTGCAGTTTTAGGTCCAAGCTCGACTTGAAGTAAGAGATGTTGACCCTCTAAAAGGCAATCCTGTCACAAATAACAGCATTAGAAATATGACAGGTGACAGGACCCCTTACCTGTTACCCAGATTCCCACCATGTCCAGTTTGGCCTTTAATCAGCTAAGGCTTATCACTAAGCTCTGCCCCCACTTAGATGGGGGAGTTCTCAAGACCTTGGTGCGATGGCTGCCATGTCCAGTTTGGCCTTTAATCAGCTGAGGCTTATCACTGAGCTCTGCCCCCACCTAGATGGGGGAGTTCTCAAGACCTTGGTGCATATGTTGGTGATCTCCAGGGCTGACTACTGTAACACTCTCTATGAGGGGCTCTCCTTTTTGGTTGACCCAAAGACTCCAGCAGGTTTAGAATGTGGAGGTCTGATCACCTCTCCCCAAGCTTGGCTCACCTGCACTGGTTACCTGTGATGTCCTGAGTTAAGTTCACCTATTAAACCCTCCATGGCTTGGGACCCTGTTACCTATCAGAGCACCTTTCCCTAAGATCTTCTATCCACATCACCCGATCCTTCTCAGGCCATGCTTCCTAGAGTGGTCCTGACCCGACCAGATAGGCGGGATATAAATAAAATAAAATAAATTAAAATTAAATTTCTCCGGGTTGCCAAGGAGGCCAGGAAAACATCCACTAGAAGCCAGGCCTTTTTGGTTGTGACACCAGCGCTATGATTTCCGGTCAAGCTGCTCCTGGCCACCTCCCTGCCTACTTTCAAAAGGTTGCTTAAGACATGGCTCTTTATAGAAGCTTTTGATAGCAGCTTCCAAAGACTTGTTCATTTGCCAGTCTGTCCTATTATAGGCAATGTTTGCTGTCATGGCTTGGTGATGGAATCTGAAGTCATTTGTTCTTGATTTTATCATCTGTTGATTTATTATTACAGTATTCTTGTTGCTTGATTTTATCATTTGTTAACTGCCCAGAATAATGCCTTAAACTTCTGAAATAAATAAAGAAATACCTAGTGATTTATATAAAAGGGCTGCATAGCTGTATTTTCCAATGTAACCGATGCAGAAGTATACTACATTAATATTTTTTCCCCGATTTGATGAGAACATCAACTATAACTCTTAAAAACTCACACAAAAATAAATACATCTATTAGTCTTTAAGACATCATAATGCTTTCATTTTTTTTGTTTTTGTCATACCTGCCTTCGTATATATGTTATAAAATCCACTACTTTCACATCAGTAGACAAGGCCCCATGAAGTCAACATGCCCATCATAACAAGTCCCTTTCATGTTTTCTAATGATTAAATTCTCCAATCCCAGGACCTGCTCCCATCCACAGACATGCTGTTGCCACGAAAGAATATCAGCTTGTCTCCTGTGAAGGGGATCATTTGAAAGCATCGTTCTTTATTTCCTCAACATGCACCCTGTTGCCTGAACTACAGAGTACCTTTGAGAATGACAGTAAATTTTCTCTGCTTGTCACTTTCTTGTCCGAATTCAAATGCTCTTAGGAAGCTTTTCCCTCCCACAAAGCATATAATTGTGAAGAATTGTTGAGTTCAATAGGATAAAGAAAACTAATTTCACAGCTTGCAGAAGATGTTTCCATACTTATCGTGTTTTTCCTTGATCTTCTTCTTATTCTCTTCAAATTGCTCCAAGACACCTTTGAATCTTCCAGGAGGAAAATTAAGTGAGCCTTTATCCTTTCCATCGCCTCCAAAGAGCTGTGGTTTAGACTGGTATTTGGCAAAAATACTAGGTTCGTTCTGTTTTTGAGGGAAAGAGAAATGTAAAAAGAAAGACAGCTAAAATGGTAATGGAAACTGTAAATTTCCTAGTAAGTGCTCCCTATTTCTCAATGTAGTAATATAGTAGTAGTAATAGTAGTAGTTTCATTACTAGGTTGTCTTTCTCCTGGTGAGGGGGCCCAAGGTGGCTCACGACAATTAAAACAAGTTAAAATATTACATTACTAAAGTAAAAAAATATTTAAATATGTAACTATTAATGATAATATTTAAAAAATTAAAACAGACTTAAAAAGAACTTGTGCAACTAAGAGGGAGACAATCGTAGTTCATATTTTATAAAAATTCTGATTTCAGAAAAATACTCTAGCATGTTGTGAAAAAAGACTTATACAAAAGCGATAACACACAGCAGGATAAAATCTAAACAACTCAACAGATAATACAAGGACCAAGGTCTGTGGCAGAAGCACCTGATTTGACCACTAAGGTCCCGAGATTCAATTGGTAGCATCAGCAGTGCTGGAAAAGGTATGAATCTGAAATTCTAGAGCAGAGTTTGACAGGTAAGGGAAGCTCTGATCTGGGAAGATTCTTGGGGGCCACATTTTATTTGCGGCAGAGCTAAGAATACCGAGCATGATCAAGGACAGAGTATCATCTGAAATTGAAAGAACCAGATGTAATGCTATGTATTAATTTGAACATTTGCCTATCACGTCTACAAAACCCCAACCGTGCCTGTCCAGGAGTAATAAACCCCAGTGCAACAGCTTTCAAGCATGCAAAAAGCACAGCTCAATTCTACGTAAGGTATTTAAGGTTTAAATGCACTTGCATTTCTGATCACCAGTTATATATAAAAGAAGAAGCCTACTGCAAAATGAGATTCCCCAACCATGGTCTATACTAATGGTAAACACACACACCTGAAGCCATTTTTCTAGGAAATCCAGGATCTAGCTGTTGCTGCATGGTGATAGCATTTCCTTATAAAGGAAGGTGAAAGTTCCGTGCATGTTGTTTTTTACACAGAAGCATTCTACATTAAAAAAATAAATAAAATCCTAGAAGCCTATTGTTACTTGTAAACAAGGTGCTTAAGGAGCATATGCCTTGCTTGAAAAGGAAAATCCACGGTTGGTGTTTTTGTTTGTTTGCTTCTACTGTCACACCAAAAAATCTGACCATAATTGTCATAAGTGAAGTGTGGTCTCCATACCCCAGAAGTTTCCCATACCTAAGTCTACACAGCCTGCAAAACAACCAAGCCATAGGTTTGGATTCCAAATGATCTATGTTTGGTAGGGAGAGTGTGCGTTCCAGTGGCTAAACTGATTTGGGTCCAGTTCCTGTTCAACCATGAAGCTCATTGTGTGGTCTTCATCTGGCTCTCAGCCACCCTGCCTCACAGGGTTGTTCTAAAGCTAGAATGCCATTCCACTGTAACTTTCACATTTTACTACTTCCCCAAAGTTAGCATAAAGCCAGTACTGAACATCAGACTCACATCTTGTGAATTTTGCTGTGAGCTTTTTTCTTGTCTTTGCTGGATACTAAATTCAGTAGGGGCTGATGTTGATTGCGAGTTCTCTGGGCAAAACTGAGAACCAAAAAGGAACTGAGAGTCACTCATACTGCTGTAATCACCGGGAGCACTGGTCCAGCTGGATGATTTACTAGGCCTGAAACAGGAAAGCAGAAAGGGGCCGTGTAATTAATACAATAATTATGGACAGGATTCTGTTTGTTATTTATGCCAGTGTAAAAGCAATGGCACAAATCATAACAGCAAATTGCAGCTAGTCAACAAGTTGCTGCTTTTATTCCTTGTCACAGTATGGAGTATGATGTTGGTAAGCAGGGAATGAGATTGCAAATTTGTTGCAGAATCCGACATGATTCTGTGATGGAGAAATGACATGCCCTTGCAGGTAGGCCATGGGTAACTTCCTTGCTTCATCATTCATATTACACCTAGTCTATCTGCTATTATCTGCAAATTGCCATTTGATGCTACATTTCTATAAGCCATTTAACTAAAAGAAATGTAGGGGTACATTCTGAAGTGCAGGCATTCATCATGAAAGTGATTACAGCCAGGTCCCAAAAGAGAGCCTAAATATGCAAGCAACTAAGTTGATCTGTATCAACAAACCCACACTAGTACTGTAGTTTTCATTTCACCAGAAGCATGCTTTTATAAATCTAATGTGTCTTAACTGTCCATTCAAGAACAAGTCACTCTTGTCAATCTTACAAGCATCAATTGCTGTCTTTTGGATCAAATCTATTCCCTCTCTCCTCTCCCACCTACCAGTAAGATTGCTCTTAAGCTCAGAAAAAAAAACAACAGAAAAGTTTGAGCAAATAACAGGTGACACCATCAATTTCCATAATCAAAAAGCCTCAGCATTTTGACCGTGCAAGCACTGGCTCCACTATGAAACTTTTAATCAGCCATAATCCAAGCTAATAGCAACAACAGAGTTCTTCCTCACTGGGACAGGAATTAATGGAGCTATATCTTTATCACTGTCCCAGATCATTTGACAAAACCAGGGCTTGCACACAACTGTTTTGTCTCCCTCTCTCCCATCACTTGATTTAAAAAAAAATTCTTTAAAGGCTATGGCAGAAGCCATTGGTGCTTAAAACCAAAATAAAATTATTCACCACTAATCACATGGTGTTTAACCACTACATTTCTTCTTTCAATCCTGTGCGCTTAATAATTTATCCCCTAGCTTAGGGAACATTTTGATTTCTACGATGTATTTGATCATTGCCTTTTCTGACTCTTTTAGATAGTACCTGTCATACTCTGACATGTTTTTTTTAATGTCAGCAGCCCAATTTCAACAAAAAAAGTACTTTCAAAAACATATTTGCTATTTATAGGATTGCAGACACCTGGAAGAGAAGTACTGACATCAGAAAAATGACTGGGAAGCATATGACTGTAGAAATACAATAAATATGCAAATTGTGTTTTAAATATAATAACACGAGACTAGGAGCTCAGCTGTGTATCAGAAGCATGCAAAGCTCTATGCTGTGCAAAAATTACATTCACAATATGCCACCCACAGCTATGTGCTTTTCCTTTGTTTTCTATTAGTAAAGGAAATTGGTATGAAAGTGGTAAATTCAGGGACAAATTTACAACAGATCCACACCAAAAGTCTTTCCAAATCATACAACAAGTTTTCAGTCATACGACAAAGGATCAGACATGCTCAAAACAATATATAGTATTACTACAGCTTCACACAGTTCAGTGACAGTGAGACTATCATGAGCTTTATGAGCTTCCAGAGGGCTCATGTCAGTGTCTGAATGATGGACACGTACATTTGTAGTTTTACAGGAGTCTGACTTGTTATGTGTCTTACAGGTTTCCTTTTCCTTATGTCTCTCTGTGTGCTAACTTTTAACTTGAAACAGGAATAGAATTCTGGCCTCACAGAGATGATTATTCATTTATTATAATAAAGAAAAGCTCTCTTACATGTAAGAAAAAAATACCTCACCTTCAGTTAACTATAGCAGTCGTTTCTATTCAGAGCAAACGACTTTTGATAAATAACTATAGCAGTTCAGCATTAGAGGAGGATGAAGAAAGATAAGAGTTGATTTGAGCCACAACTCCTTCCCTCCCCAGTCAAAACTGGCATTGCCTATGGTTTAAAAACTAACACAGCTGCTAAATGCTTTTTTTTTTAAATTCCATTCTCTTCTTACAGAGACTTCTCCTTACCACTGAAACATAGTTTTGCAAGAACTGACTACAGCTGTCTACAAAACAAAGTAGAAGACATGGTAATTTTCAGAGGCTGCCTTCCTCTTCAAAGTTCAATAATGTTGCCCTCAATTTTCTTCCACACCACACATTAGCACACCTACATATTACAATAGGGAGTACGGAGTGCAGAACACACCAAAGGGGGGAAGGGGTAAATAATATGCCTCAAATCATCACCACTGGCCTGAAACAATCCAGATGTCTTCGGCCACCCAGTACCCTGGCAGTAGGCAATTGGTGGCGCTCTACAAGTTGTTGGATATAGCTCCTACCAGCTCTTGGTAGCTGGGACTGTTAATGAAGGATGATGAAAGCTGTAGTCCAACAACAAGGCCTCCACCCTTCATTCTATTGGAAAATCTCCCATCACCACACAAGTAGATAGGAAAAAAGAGATCATTATGAGTACTGGCCCACCAATTATCCTCAGGGTTTCTCAATGTCTGTATAAATCCTTCATGTGTAGGTGGGAAAGGGTGCTTCACATTCATGGTAAGAGCCACAGGATCACTTTTGCTAGCCTTGTGACCTTTAGATGTATTGGTCTATAAATCTCTGGAATACTTCCTGTTGGCCTTGCTGACTAGGGATTAGTCCAACAAAAGGCTTCAGAAAGAACCTATCTCCTCCCCACAGCATTTTACTCTGCGTTCTTCCCATTTTTCTTCAAGTATCACCCATGCAATGGGAAGAGGGAGACACCTTTTGCACAACTTTTTCATAGACATAAATATAAAAGTTTAATGCCAAGACCTCATACAAAAGAGAAAAAAAGCTAAAAGCTCCTAGACAATAACACAATCAAGCTGCATGTATTTATTTAAGGAGTAAATCAGGCCAGTGAACATTAATCGTATGTTAAGTTTGTTGTCACCTTCTGCCCATATAAAATTCTATTACCTTGCTTGCCTTGGGTAAATACAACTAAATTCTCTTTAACTGATACAGTACTATTATTAATTAATTTTCTTGTTTTAACGTTTTTTGTATCCGCCACCACAGCAAAGCATACTGGCAAATTATTCACTAGCAGTTGGTTTTCATGATAATTGTGCAAAGTTAATTTATAATTCTGTATGCACAGTAGACCAAATTACTTACTGAAGATTAATTTTTTTTCAAAAAATGTGCCTAAAAGAGTGGCACTTCCTTCTGCTTTTCTGTTAAATTTCCCTCCCACTGCTTTCTCTTTATGTCTACAAAAGGAAAAACAGATTTTTATTTTGTTACATGCTGATGCAGGAGCTAATTTCCTATGACTTCTGTTGAAATACCCAAGCTCATAAATGCAATAAAATGTGCTACACAGTTGTACCAGGCATACATAGTAACCTGAGCATCATGATTCATTTTAGCATCACCTTCATCAATACTAGAGAGGCTTTTTCACATAATAAGCTTTCTACTGTAAACAGCACGAGGGAAATCATGGAGATAAAATGCTTGGAAACCATCCAGTAATTTGATCTGGCATTCAAACAATATCTCATGCACATTTTAATATTCCCCCTGAAGTAAAATTAAATCTTGCTATCAGATCTATGTTCTTGCAACCAGGAATAATGGCAAATGATATGTCATCTTAAATTTAATGGATATATTTGCATTCACCATAACTCTTAGTCATATCAACCCAATCAATGCAGTTCCTCACTACCTACTACTGATGCCTTTAAAAATAGAAAAATCACATAGCTGCAGGCAATGAGCTGCCTCATCATCCACTGCATTCCTTGTTTGCAAATTCTCATATAGGCTAATAAGCACTATTTAATATAAATTTACTGGGCAGCAGGTAAAAAACCAAGGTCATCGTGCGGTCTTCAACTCCAAAGCGATAATCCACACATTATGAACTATCTTTGATATGCAGAAATAATATGCCTTGAAAGCTGTATAGTAAGACAATTATATTCATGGAAGACATAGCGGGACCCTTGCTCAGCACAAATGTTCTTAACCTCAGCATGCCTCCACATCTTCTGTGCATATGAGCTATGGCAGACATCTAAATGGTGTTGGTCAAGTGTTATTTTGGACTCACTCTCCTTCTCTTTCCATCTTTCCTAGAAAAAGTCTGAAATATAAATTAAATTTAACCTCCAACACTTTTGATATGAGGACTGTCATTTTCTGGGTGCCTTTGTTCCCATCCAAACAGAAGCTCTATGATTCAGTATAAGAGAGCAACAAGATAGCTATTTTACCTCCATTTTGTACCCCATTGATTTAAAACAAATTCCTATATGTTCACATTTTAAGTCAATAGGAAAGGTGCTGAGTGACTGGCATCCTGTTGTCTACAGCAGTGGTTCTTAATCTTGGGTTACTCAGGTGTTTTTGGACTGCAACTCCCAGAAGCCTTCATCACCAGCTGTGCTGGCTGCAGTTTCTGGGAATTGCAGTTCAAAAACACCTGAGTAACCCAAGGTTAAGAACCACTGGTCTACAGCATCTGGGAAACACAACAAAAGCTACCTCTCCTGGGGTTAAAATGGATTTGTTCTTTAGTTGTGTCGGACTCTTTGTGACCCCATGGACCAGAGCACACCAGGCCCTCCTGTCTTCCACTGCCTCCCGGAGTTTGATCAAATTCATGTTGGTAGCTTTGATGACACTGTCCAACCATCTTGTCCTCTGTCGTCCCCTTCTCCTCTTGCCTTCACTCTTTCCCAACATCAGGGTCTTTTCCAGGGGGTCTTCTCTTCTCATGAAATTGCCAAAGTATTGGAGCATCAGCTTCAGGATCTGTCCTTCCAGTGAGCACTCAGGGTTTGGCCAATTCTACTAGGTTTCTGCCTCTATTTTGGGAACTTCACTTGAAACAACCAGGGTCTGGCATTAGTAGGTGGCCAAGATGATTCTGCAGCTTTTCTGTCCCCACCACCACTTTGCAGGATTCAAACCTAGTCTGTTCTTGAGATATTAATGATCTGGTAAAGGTATTACCAACCCTTGTTTTTGAAATGATGCAGTTTTTCCTTTGTTCAACATATACCCATTTAACACTATAATAAACTTAATAAATGCTACTTCACTTCCTAATTATGCATGGCTTTCATCATAACTTCATCATTACTCCTTCAATAGCTAGATTGTAATGGTCAATACTACTATTATTGCCAAATAATTTATGGTTTCTTCTTACTTTTTATGAACATCGAGTACTTTTTTCACCATTGTATTCCTTATTTCAAGACATTTTGTACCAGATTAATTTTTGGTGTGGTTCTATCTTCATAATCACTTTTCATAAGCTCTCTGGAGCAAAATATTTGGTACAAAATAATACCTGCTTTTAAAATGGAAAATGTTGAGAGGATTGCCATAAACTCTCACAGACATGTACCACTTATTTTTGGACTCCTGTCTATAATTTTTCTGCATTATCCCTGCAGAAATTGTGTTATGCCTGAAGACATGGACTTTTCTCCATGAAAAGTTGCAATTTGTTTGATTTTTAGTGGTCCAATAAAAGGTATCACCCACTGTTACTATCATGTCTCCCATCAGTCTTCTTTTCCCAAGGCTAAGCATACCCATTTATTTCAGTCTTTCCTCATAGGCATTGCTTTCCAGTCCTCTGATCATCCTTGTTGCCCTCCTCTGAACTTGCTCCAGTTTGTTGGCATCCTTCTTAAAGTTCTGGTAGAAACACAATGCTGGACAAGATGGACTTTGATCTGATCCAGCAATTCTCCTCTCCATTCCATAGAGATACAATCTGGTAAAACTATGGTTATCATAACTATGGCAAAAACAGGGAATTTTTGGCTGCCCAGGTAGTTTGGATTTCAATTTCAACAAGTCTAGTCAGTGCAGCCAATAATAAGAGATTAAAGGAGTTGTGTTCCAAAGCATCTGAAGGGCAACGGTTCCCCAGCCATTGCCTATAGCTTTCTTCCAATAAGAATAAGAACTCTTAGTTTTAGCTGCATGATCCTGATTATGATAAACAACAACAACAACAACAACAATAAAGGAATACAACAATAGCATATTATGCGACTTACCCCATTTTTGTAGGAATGCTAAACAATTCTTTGATATTCCACACATTCACACTCATTTTTCAGATTTCTCTGCTAAAAGAAAAAAAAGAGAAATATGTGTTGCATGGTTTATTTTGTTTCTTATACACTTGATCCAAATAACCACATCAGTTTCAACAGCTGCTTGCTCAAATGCCATAGAAATTATACAGCTGCCTTCTAAGGCTACAGAGGTCCTTACTGAAACATCTCAAATATGCATCCTAATGAACTTTCAAAATAAACACTTACCACTTGCAGAGATAATCTGCAGAGAAGGATTCTGGGAACATGGGCTGCTGTAACATAGAAGTATGATATTAGTATTCCCAAATGATGCTGCTCTGACCTGGAGCTGTTAAAACTAGTCTCAGTCTTCATGTCAGATGTTTGTGACTCACTGCCAATCAGACGAGCTGTTTCAGTGCCATTATTGCCAGTTGCATTTATATAGCAATAGTGGCCATTTGTCTGAGTTGTAGGGATGTTTCAATCAAATGGCAGTCTGAACTCCATCTGTTTCCACTGCTTGGATGATATGCCACTGGTGGCTAAGAGATCTGAAGATACCCAAGGAGCTCCCGACCAAGATTACTATTCTGCCATTTGGCCAGGGTAGGTGGCAGCTGCCAAAAAAACCAAACTACCATATTAACAGGGCTAAGCAAGACTACTGTATTCCCAAATGCTCTCCCACTGAAAATACGGCTCTTAAGGCTGAAATCACATTGTCTGGATATTTTTTTAAAAGCCAGATGTATCAATTAAAAGGAAGGAGTTTGAAACATGCCTATCAGAGAAGCATAAAGCCTGGACAGGAAGAAAGATTATCCCAGTGGCATTTAGCACTAAAAATCAATCAACATAGGGAGTGAAGAATACAAACTCATATCACTCCAGTAGTGAATGTATATACAGTAGCTTAAACTGGGACATTGTGATACACACCAGCTCCCAAAAGTTTGCAGAAGTACAGAAAAGCTTAAGAACTAAACCTAAACCACCCACTCCATGACACCTGAGGACTAGGCATATTCCGTGACTGCAGAATGCAACCATAAATCAGGAATAGGTGAGTGTTGAGGAGGGGAGAGAGGGAATAGAATATAGCTTTCTAGAAGATCCCATGGCTTAATGGAATATAGAGCAGGAGCATTCCAAACTGCAACAGGTCTCATTTCTGTTGTACTAATCGGGAAGCATTGAGATTTCGTCTCCTAGGTATACCAAGACAGCTGACAGCCCCAAGAGGTTCAGGAAGATAATTATATCTCCCTGGGCAAGTGTCTGCAATTGCATCTGGCTAATTCATCTTCATTCTTCAGGAATTTTTGCTTTAAACAAACCAAAAGCTGCCACATTTTACTGGTATAACAAGTTAAAGTGAGCTGACTCAGGAAGGCTGACTACCTTTAAAACAAATTTATATTGCTTCACATCACATATTGTGTAGGTGGCAAACCATGATTACGTTTCAGCCAAAGCAAATACATAAGCATATTAAAATTCTTCTGAAATTGCTAAAAATATTTAAGCACATGCTTATAATTCTCATAGGAGATAAATGCATCTAATGTTGATTGGATCACACTTAATAGTTATAGTTATTCTGAAATGTTTAAAACCCACAAAAACACGACTTTGGAAATTTTGTCACTATCTATCTTCTGTTCTGGGTTGGCACAAAGTTTCAACCAATCCATTAAACAGAGCTCTTTTGCAAAATCTGTTGGCTAAGAACAATAATATATTCTATCCCCTGCTAGTTATAATCACTAGTAATACACAGTTCAAGTGGAAGGAGAGGCTATTAAACACAAGCTTGCCTCTCTGACATGCCTGTGGCTTGCTCCATAACAAACTGTTGAGCTTGTAGTTAATTCTTCAGGATATATCATGGTAAGTCTTCGCAGGTAGATAAACCCTGTAGCTTCCTGAAGTAGCAGCTTTGTAAAAGCACTCTCATATAGAGCTTCTCCCCTGCCTTTCATAGGTGTCCAAAAACCATGGGCAACGAGGTTGGAATCTTGTATGTAAGTACTAGAACACTCTGGCATGGCTGTATAGATAGCCTATGGTCTAAGCAGAGGGATATAGCTCATTCTCCCACTCCACGATGAAGTGTTCCCCTCCACAAAACAGCCATTGGATAACTGTACCCCTTGCTTTATTTTGTTTTGAAACAGTATTTGAATATGTTGAATCTTCTTTTTCTGCACAGAAAAGAACCACACACATAGTCTTACAAAATATAAAACAAGGTAATCTAATAACCTGCAACTATGGTTCTTCGAGTGGCCATCTACCGTTAAGTAGTCACATAAATAGGTTCTGTGCCTGTATGAACACCATCACAGAAACTTATAGAGCTTTGCCTTTGAGATTTCCTTTCTCTTGCCTTTATAACACATGCTCCATCTGCTCTCCTCAGTCCCATATTGTTCTCCACAAGAAAGAATAATACATTTGGCAAGACAACTGTGGGGAAATGGAGAGATTATGTGAATACATAGATGGCCACTTGTAGAACTATAGTTACAGGCAAGTAACATGTCCTTCCTCATGGTCTCTATGTTCCACACAAGTTGGTAACTAAAAAATTTAGGTGGTGGATATCATACCAAAATTGAGGACAAGATTGCTCTGACAAAGAAGTATCTCTTTAAGCTTGCAAATCAAGTCTATAATGGTTTACAAATTAGAGACTGGGACCATATTGTTGCCTTACAGATGTCCTGAAGGTCAGCTCCTCTCATTAATGATGAAGACACTGCTCAAGTTGAATAGCTTGTAATAATATGGCAGAGTTGTTCTTGTAAGTTCTTAGACTAGTCTTATTGCATCAAATTTGTTGGGAAGATATTGGGCAACCTGTCTTAGGGTCCTGGCAGCAGACAAAAAGCCATACTGTTTTTCTAAATTCTTTAGTTCTTGATAAATAAAAGTTTTTTATTTATCAAAATTTTATGTTCTGATCTAATTGAAATGTGAAAATTGCATCCTTTAGCAACCAGCTATGTATGGAAACATGGTTATGTCTTTTGTTTTGAGAAATGCTACTACTGGTACCATACATTTTGTGAACAGGAGCTGTTCCTAAAATGAAAGGAAACACTTTGAATTGGTAGATCTTCTGATCTACAGCAAAATGAAGGAAACAATGATGTTCTGGTCTACTCGAAATGTTAAAATATGCAGCTTTTAGGTCTGTTGATGAACACCAATCTCCCTGTTTCAAAAGTGGCAAAATTGTTTGCAAAATCACTATCTGGATTTTTTTTTTGGAGGGAGGGGTGTTATATACTTGGATGTAGGCCACCATCATTCTATGGTATCCTAAAATATGGGGGATAATATCCGTTGCCCATACATAATTTTGGTACCTTTTTATCGCTTCTTTCTCATCACTATCTCATCCTTGAGGATCTTTGATAGTTTAGTAACTCAAATATGACTCGTAGGAGGAAGTGTCTTGTATTCTGTTGCATTACCATGAGTTATGATGGCTCTAACCCATGTATCAGAGGCGGTTGTGTGCCACATGTTTATATGATACACTGATTTTGTTTCATATCTCATTGAAACAACTGCTGTTGGAGATGGAATAAATTCAGAGTTGTTAGTCTTGGTGTCTTTAAAAGACAAAGCTGCTGCTTAGACTTTTGGTTGACTTTTTTAAATGAAGATGGTTGCTTGTACCTGCTGTGTCTGGTTTGTGAATGAAAGCATTGCACTGTTGATCAGCCTAAAGCTTTTGATCTTGGTGATTTGAGTGCCTGGTATTGGTAGGACCTCTAATATGTTTTATACTGCTGTGTTCATTGGCAGTAGGTATTTAGACTCCTTTTCTCACTGTTGCCTTCTTTTTGTAGAGGTCTTCCATTTAATTATTAGTTTTAGTGTTAAATAAACCCTTCCCATCAAGTGGGAGGTCTTCAGAGTCTTCTGCTAATCCTGATTATCTTAGCCAGGCATGTCTCCTTCGTTTTACACTCACTGCCATGCTGTTAGCAGCACAGTATGCTACATGATGAGCTGAGCGGATTTGTTACGCTACTAAGGAGCATGCTTCCTGTTGAAATGAGATGGTTAATGATTTTTTTTATCCTCAGGAATACATGCTATAATGGGCTTGAACTTTCCACAAATAAATTGTTGATATTCACCCATCATTTCCTGCTAATCTGAAATCCTCATATGATGTGCTCCCAAGGAACAGAATTTCTTATCTAATAGAACTAATTTTCTTCCTACCTTGTTAGCTGGTGTATACTTTACTTTATCTTTTGCTTGAGAAGTCTCAACTATAATTGAATTTTCTTTTATACATATATAAAGTTTTAACAGGCATAAAAGGGAAAGGAAAATATGGTAAATAGATTTAAAACTGTAGAGGCTATTTACAAATTAACTGTCTGTCGAAGATTAGTCAAAGACTTTTGTCACCACAGTGGACCAGAAAACCCACAATAAACTGAGGAAAGTGTGTGGAGAGTGCACTATTAAGGCAGGAAGAGGAAATCTCAAGGTGAAAGCTGTGGAAGTTTCTGCGATGGTGTTCACCCAGGCGCAGAACTTCATCTATGTGAAACATAAAGACCACGATGAAGAGCAATAAATTGTCATGAAAGTACAATTACCAGACTAAAGGCACCATTAAAAAGCAAGACTGTAAAAACCCAACATTAACAATCAATACATTAAATAAAGCAATAATGGATTCAAGAGCTTCTTTAAGAGATATATGTCTTCAATTTCCAGCAGAACACAGTAGGGAAAAAGACAATTTACACTTTTGGAGCATGGTTTCAACAACGGTTCTGCCACCAAGAAAGCCCTGCTATGCAACACTATTGACTGCAGTGACACATCCAACAAAGACACAAAAAGCAGATTCAAGAACATGTTGGTCCTAATCTACCCAGTATTTTCAAGTCAGTAAGTAGAAATACACTGTTAGCTAATTTGGCTGATATATTAAAAGGTGACAAGACCTGAGGCAGGGCTGGTTCTACATATTTTGCTACTTAAAAGAAGGGACAAGATGGCCTAAAAACTGATTCCCCCCCCCAACACTACTCTGGAAGCCAGTTCACTAAGGTATGGCAACAAATGTGTGACAACTATGCATTTATTGTGACAAAAATAACTGTCAAGAAAGGCCTTTGGAGTTTTCTAGTAAATAATCAGTAAACCAAATATCTAAAATCGAGATTGAGATATAAATTCTTATAGTATTAATACATTATAACTGCATGCTATCAAGTCAAATCTTAGTGCCCCCTTCCAGAATTTCCTAGGTACAGAGTACTTAAAATGGCATGCTAGATATAGAGTATACTGTCACATTATTATTATTATTATTATTATTATTAGTAGTAGTAGTAGTAGTAGTAGTAGTAGTATATTATAATAATGCCATTTTTGTAGCACTGATGGTGATTTCTGAGATCTGCAAATGCTTATACTGTAGTACTGTGTGAAATTTCTTGATATTGTTCCCAAACCCCAATGACTATGGGGACCACTAAGGAGTGCTTGTTCCAGAGGTGAGATGTTTCGATTGCCAAGTACTTTGGTACTTTGTTAGTTTTTCCAATTCTTTATTTTCAACTCTGGCATCCCCAAGAATTGCAATATCAATGATCTGGACATTTCTTCTTTCTCTTACTACTATGTCTGGTGTGTTATGTTCAAGCTGTCTGTCTTTCTGGATCCGGAAATCCCATAAGATCTTGACTTCCTCATTTTCTGACACCTCTACCTGATGTTCCCATGGGTTTTTGGAGGCCTCTACTACCTCCTTCCATGTCTAGTCGTGCCAGCCACGTGACCACAGAGAACTGTCTATGGACAAACTCAAGCTCTACGGCTTGGAGACAGGGAAGAGCACCATGCCCTAGAGTTGGACACGACTGGACTAAATGTCAAGGAGAAACTTTACCTACTATCTCCTCTACTGTGTTTGCAGTAATCCACAGCCTCTACCTCTTCTACTGTGTTTGCAGTAATCCACAGCCTCCAATTTTTTTGTGGTAAATATAATCTGTCGACATCACTTTTTGGATATGGTGTGTGAAGCATGTTCATTAGTTGGATCCAGAAGATCTTGACTACCTCATTTGTCAGGACTATGATGATAATGAATTGGACTTATACTGTATCTTGCCCATTCAGTTATGTTTCTGGACTGCACTTCCCAGCATTATTCTTGGGGAGCTCCTGGAGATTTCTGGGGTTGCAGTCCAAAAATATGAAAGAGCACCCTCCTAATGTTTATATGTCCCATTTTTGAGTTACAATACTGAGCTTACCTTGATTCATATTTCTAACATTCCAAGTTCCAATTATATATGTCATGCAACTTTGGACTTTCCTTCTCTCTGTACATCATCAGTTGAATGTCTCTGTGGCTCCAACTCCCTTGCTTCATTAAAAACAGCAGTAGTTATACTTATCCTTAACTCTTCCCGAGTAGCTGACTAAATAACTTCCAACTGGGGAATCTCATTTTCCAGCCATCCCTTGTTATATTTTGGATTATTTCATCAAAAGGTTTACTGTGCTAGGAATCTAATGGAGTCTCGCTTTCTGACAGTACAATACTGTACTGTATTGGTTTCAGCTGACATAAACTGCTACAAACTGTGCATCAAAGAGGAGGCTCTCAATTGTCTGAAAACAACTCAAGTACGTACTCTAGAAAACATCACATCTTCTCATGTTATAAGGCTGTTGTGCAGAAAGATATATATTGCTCTTGAAACCTTGGACTACCTGATCCACATATGTAGAATTGTTTAAAACAATTGAGGGAAGCATTCCTTTTTCCTTTGGATCAGAGTTGTCATCCTTTTTGTATAAACAGAGATCATGAGCATTTAAACAGCTGCTTAACACAATAATATCTATCTATGGGGACAATTTTTATCAAGATTTGTGGAACAGATTTACTGTGACATAAACTTTCGTGGTCTAGATAGAGATGGGCAGACTTCAAGCCTGTTCATCTATTTTATTGGTTCCTTCCTCTTTTAACAGATATTCACAAGTTGGAATCCTGTATTTCTCGAGTGGTTTCTAGGAATACAGCCAGAAAGGGAAAATGCACCTTTGAGCACAAATAATTTGTTTTCACCACTAAAACTTGCAATCTTAGCCTTTTCCCATTAAAAAATCACCCTTTGCTTCTTTAAACTCTTTTGTCTCAGCAATTAGAGAGAATAGTTATTGCTGCTTCAAAAAGCTAGAAGCCAGAACTCCTTGTACTCTAATCTAATAGAACACTCTTAAGTCATCCAGTGACCTAATAGTGGATCCCAATCTACCTTTTGTCCACCTCTGATGTAAAATGTGAGTTTATTTAAATATTTGTGTCTGGTTGCCTGTCTTGTGTATATAAAAGTGGGTTTTAATTTCTAAGATATATGCCAGTACTTATATCTTAGAAATTAAAACCCAGTCTAAAGTACAGTCTTTAGGTAGTTAGCAAAGTTCGTCTTTAAGATAAAGTAAGATAGGCTGGGTTTTTTCCCCCCTGCAAAACTGGAATGCCTGCAGTGGAGTGGCGGTCCCGCTTTTGGGCTAGGAGGACATGGCAGCCCCTCCCCTGAGGGAAAAGACGGGACGGTCGTCTGGGAATAATAGGGCGTGATACTCATCCTGATACTTCGTAAAGAGCAAAGCGGGGCATTTTCCTCTCACCTGAAAGGCGGGAATCGGTGTCCCCACCCCACCCCCACCTTTCCCAGCATCTCGCGCGACCCGCCTGGCCTGAGGCGCCTCCTGAAGGAAGTTCCCTCGGAGGGATCGAGTGCGCCTGCGGCGGCGCTCGCGCTCATGAACACCCCCCACCCTTTCAGCTTCCCTCTTGCACACTCCACTCTGTGGAGCCCCACACGGACGTCAAATAACAATTGTGCCTGCAGGAGTGGCACATGTAGGGGCCGGCCGTAGTCACATCCTCTCTTTACTCCCATACACGATTTAGAAAATAAATAAATACTGTAATGTACACAAATAAGTGGATTCAGTCTCTTGAAAGAACGACGTATGGGCTATGGTCTTCTCCCGCCAAAATGTTAACCTTTTAAAACTCCTTTGCCTCACACACTATCCTTCACCAGTCCTGCGGTGCCTCAGAAATTTCAATTAAGTTGTGGATTTACCTCTTAAATTGTATTCGCTTTAAAATTACGGCAGCCTTTTAAATATTGCAGTGTCACGTAGCATTAGGAGGGAAAGACTAGGGCTTTGGCGCTGGCGTTTCAGTCGCCTCAGCAGCAGCTCAAAACTTTCCGTTGCGCAAAGCCCTGTCCTTGGCTCCTCGGGGCCATGCTATTCTCGCAGTTTTTTTTTTTCATGTATATTTTCAAATATTGTTTTGATTATATTTTGCTGCTTTAATTCTCTTTGTGTGCCATTCTGGTATCTTCAAGAGTGCAAGCTGGTTTTAAAATGTTTGAATAAATAAAGAAAATAAAAATAACAAAATGACCTTTGTCTTCAAGAACAAGACCTTTCTCTTCAGGCAAGCCTTCCTTCGGTCACTATCTACCTGTGTGTGATTTTTTAGATGTATTGTTATGCATTACTGCTTTGATAGGATTTTTAGTACTACCTTTGTGTTTTCCATTTCTCAGAATGGCATTGAACTTTTTCTTAGCTGCAATATTGCCTTTTAATAATGTAAGATGCCTCTTTATACTCATTGTTTTCAGCTTTAAATGTTGTCTTTCAATAAAGAAATAACCAGAACTTTTATCTACCCTTAGTAGAAACCTGAAAACCTCATTATTCCTCTGCCTCTTCCATCTCTCTATAAAGTCCTTGACAAGGAATAATTTATCAGATAAGCCTTAGTTTCAGATGTTTTGCTACCTCTGGCAGGACAGCAAAAAGTACCCAAAACAAACTAAAATCAAGGCACTTCACAAGCCATCTATGCAACCTGCTACCTAAAGCCAGCCAAGTTCATTGGTGACATGAAACAGAAAATCTCACAAACACTCCTCCCTCTCCTTGACAGTAAAAATAACAAAACTGAATAACTAACAATTTTGCTGCCTTTTTGCCCCATCCAAGCCTGCTGCCTTACAAGGAGAGCCAAACCTGCCTATCCTGTTTCCCCTAAAATAAGACCTAACCTGAAAATAAGCCCTAGTATGCTTTTTAAGATGCTTGTAATATAAGTCCTACTCCAAAAATAAGCCCCACCTCCACCATTGTGCAGCAACCAGAAGATGATGTGACTGTATTTCAATAAATGTAGATTGTTGTACATGAAAAAAAAAATAAAACATCCCCTGAAAATAAGCCCTACTGCTTTTTTGGAGCAAAAATTAATATAAGACCCTGTCTTATTTTCAGGGAAACAAGGTAGCTCCCTCACAAGAGATGGAAAATACATATACAATGTATATTTATTCGCCTGGGGCAGTGTAAATAAATGTAGCAAAGTCTGACTACTGTCCAGCATAGAGAGTCAGTTCAAAAAGTTCCTATGTTACTGTATTTCTGACCAACATTCAGACTGGTTTATATTCCAATAGAGGTGGGTCCCAATAGAATTCCAGATTGGTTTAATGCAAATTTCATCTCTTTAGAGAGTTACAGAAATTACAGTACAACACAACTTTATTTAGCTGGCTAGATAAATCTGTGAAACAGAAGTAGGGGGTTTGATTCCATACTGTGGTGTAAGAGAGAAAAGTCGACCAGAATAGCCTTGGGCAAACTGCAGAGTCTAGGGCTTCAGAAGGAGAGGTAATAAATCCCTTCTGAGTGTTCCATATCCAGCTAATCCTGGAAAGGGCTGCCCTAAATTGGAATTGGCTTGATAACATCAATTGTTGTTGTTATTAGAGCCCTGTTTGAATATTCAGAGTCTAGGTGGAATAAACACATTAACAAGTGGGGAATGTGATACTCTTGCCCCTTCCTTGATCATTTTCTTTTCTATGAATTGAGAGCTCCTTTCTGAAGAGGAGACTCTGCTTTATCTGTGAAGGCACAGCACACAATTCAGAATGCTCAAAATCAGTGTGAATCCTATGGGGATCCTCCATGGCCAAAGGTGAAGGTCATTTTTCAAAACTTCCCCTCAATGTACCGCAAGGAGTAATGGAGATGTGCAAAGAAAGAGCTATTGCCGCCTCCTCATTTTTTAAAAATTCTGTCTTGTTTCTGAATACCCAAATTGTACTTGTGTGTGTGTGTGTATAGTAATTAATACAGTATATGCAGTTGGGCCTTATCAATATTTTTGTAGTTTTCATAATCTTTTACCATTGGCCATGCCTGCTAGTGTAGGTGGGAATTGTCAGCCAAAAAACAACTGCAGAATACAGTTTCCCTCTTCTGCATTAAGATCATTTACATCACACCACCAGCATTCTTTTTGCAAGCCATGGTAACACCAATACGGTATGTTTATACTGTAGAATGGCAGTCCTAATTTTTGGGGGGAAGCATCATACATGGGTGGGGATGAGTTCCGGTTCCTGCTGGATTTTATTCCAGGATACTTTGGGTGCCTCTTGGTTGGCACTTCCACCAATCATACAATATTGTCCACGCATTTTCCTCCTTGTCTGTGGGAGAAAAATTGTATTTCCTCCTTAATTGGGTCTTTCTTGCTTCATAGAAGGGGGGAGCAATGTGAAAATGTAGAAGGATTAGAAATTAGACTAGAATTGCGCACTGAGGTTTTATCTGTAAAGAATAGTGAGAATACTAGTGTTATTCATCTGTCCATAAGTTTGTTCATTCATTTTCTCTTCCTGTTTCTGAGACATTTGTTGTTTGGCAAAGATGCTCCCTTTGTACAAAATGTCCTTTCACAGGTTATGGGGTTATATTTGTAAAGATATGGAGGCAGCGTGAGGTAGGGAATGTGTTCTCCCGAAAGACAAACCCTTCACCAAGGAAACAAGATGTTTCTATTGCTTGTGAGAAAGCGTAGTTACACTACAAATGCATTAGGCAGAGTGATGGGAAATGTGGGTGCTTTGGTAAATGAATCATACTGTTTCCTTTTCTTCAGAATTCTGAGAGATTCATCTCCTTTTCTTTTCATGGCAGAATAATGTAGACCCATGCTGTGTTTGTTGATGTATGTGTTCCCCAGCTGGGTTTACATACTTTGGTGATAGGCTATGAATGGTTTCCTTCTATAATCCTACTTTTTTGTTGTGGCTTTAAGGGCATAAATGAGAGACTCATTCTTCTATTATAACAAGAGTGTTTTAATTTTCTGCCATGGGGAATTGTGAAAAGATTTAGGAGTACATCTTAGTTTATATACCTTAATCCACAACTCCAGCCAATTTTCCCCCTGGACTAATAATGTATTTTCAGCATAAGGTATGGACAGCTCTACCATTAGGACAGAGTTGTATAGCCACCTCAGTAAACTGTGTCAAGATCAGTAAACTGTATATAAA